ATAAATAAAATAATGTGTAACTTTACACAAAGTGCAGAATTTTAGACTATGACACTTCTGAAAAGCACAAATAAAAGCAAACTGACATAAAACTCAGTTTTTGTTAAGCGAAGAAGAAATATTACTTTTCAGAGACTTTTTTTCTTCAAGTTTTACAGTCATATTTATTCTGTGGAAAAAGACATTAAGTGACAATAGAAATTGCTCAGTCAATATACCCATGGTAAGAATAAAGATGATTTACACAATGTTTAAGAGGGTAGAGTTGAAGTGGATGAATTACACTTGGCCTACTTTTAAAATCTTAATACCAATTCACTTATTTAATACTCTTTAAAAGCTGAGTAATTCATCAACTTCAACTCTACCCTCCCTAAACATCGTGTCAATCATCTTTATTCTTACAATGTGTACATTGACTGAACAATTTTCAATGCCACATAATGCCTTTTTCCGTAGAATAAATACGACTGTTAAATTTGAAAATGAAGTCGTTGAAATGAAATATTTCCTCGTTGAACAAAACACTGTGTTTACTATGAAACTGCTATAGACGAAAAGGAACTATCAGATTAATATTACTGAGGACTGTCAGAATTTTGAAAATGATAAGGAGTGAATACATCTGTGCCATTGAAAACAATTTTTACCTGTTCCACCAACAATTTGCAACCTCTGATTTTTAATATTCTTGAGAACCCTGCCAGGCAGTTTACATCTACCTACATGTCTCAAATCGACAGTTGAAGACTTCATGAATTGGCGCCATATTTTTGTCTTACCATTCTTGATGTTTCCACTATAGCATTTTGTCAGTTAACATTACTTCTTCTGGAGTCGATGACACGTAACACATAATTCCATTATGGATAAAATTCATTTTGATAAAGTCTCACAGAGCTACACATGGATATTTACTGATGACGTTCCGAGCACAATTTATTACTCATAATCATATCAGGTTACTCACACAATTTTCTAACTTCGTTTATATAATTCCATTATTTTTCATCTCTTGATTTGGCTGCTAGTAGTATTTTCCATATCTCCGGTATTAGTGATGAATCATTCCTATTCCATGTGTTGGGTGTAGATTCGATGAACAAGGATTCAGTAGTCAACCTTTCACTCCACCTACCTACATCACCTTTTTGAATTTTAACTCTGTCCCACCCTATCGTGTGGTTGTGTGTTAATCCATGTAGTGCGATCCCTGAGTTTATTCTCAAATGCTTATATTCTCCGGGTCAATCATTCTAACCTTAGCTAAATTTTATATCCCTTTTCGATTACCTCATTATCATCGACTCTACACTAATATATACATATTGGGTAAATTCAATATGTTTTTAGTCTCACTTTCTTTCTTTGCAACTATAAATGTATCTTCGACATATCGGCAATATAAATCAAGATTATATATTACATCTTCAAGAAGACCATACTCTAGTTTCGCCAGGAGAAAATCCGCTAGGATTGTGCCGAAGCCATCTGATTGCCTATACGGTTTCTTTATTGAACAGAAAGTGTACATTCATTGTACACCTTAGAAGAAGTTCCTTTAGGGAAGACACAGGAATTCCAGTCTCTATACCTTGCTTTATCAATTGATTACTCATGTATTCAACTGTTTCCATCAAATGCACGTTGGTGAATAAGGAAGATATATCCAGTGATACCATGTATTTATCCTTCACATTTAATTCCTTAATTCTTTCTATAAACTCAAAACTGTCTTTTACGCTATTTTTCACAAGTTTCTTATGCAACGGTTGTAAAAGTTCCACCAGCCATTTCGCAGTTGAATGGTGTGGTGAGATCGACATATTGAGGACCGGTCTAAGTGGCAGGCCGCTTTTATGAATCTTTGCTAAGCCGTATAACCTGGGCGTCACCGTGTCGACAGGTTACTAACACCTATTAGTGAATTGTTTTGATGACTTTTAACTTCTTAGTCTCACACACACACCTATACCTAAAACTGATTAACTAAAATAACCACTTGATTGGTAAAATTTTGATGCAAAAACTATATATTAGTGTAGAGCCGATGATGAGGAACTAACTGAAAAGGGAATATGTTTCTTCGCTCACTCTATTTTTTTCTAAATGAGTAAGTGGGGATTTTGAAATTACCGAAATTCTTATGTTATGACAATCTGACTACCTTCGATCTACTGGTTTAACCTACTTAGTTTGTCTCACAGTTATTGCAAGTCATTTTGTAAATTATATTATTTTGTCTAATTGGGTCAACAAGGTCGTTTAACCTACAGAGCTTGTCCCTGAGTAAGTTTATAGGTTTAAATTTTGTAATTAATTTTGCTCGAAACGTCATCAGTACATATTATTGTATAACACTGTGAGACGACTTTATCAAAATAAATTTTATCCATAACAGAATTATACTCTACCACACTGCCCGATTTCTATTCTTTTACGTAACACATGTTCTAGCAATATCAATCGAAGGAATTTCGCCACCTCAGTAACTGACTTCTGTTAATTATCTAACACTGGAGAGCTAACGTAATTATTACTGACTATAATGTATCACCTGTGTGCCGGTGGCATAGCGGTTGGGACGCTCGCCGACCATGCACATGGTTCGGGGTTCAATCCCCGGCCGACGCACTCCTTTACATCGCTAAGCCAGAAATAATGCTGGTGAAGAGGAAAGGTTGGGCATGAGACTAGCAACCCCATCCTGTAAAATAAACACTGCTACAGAAACTTCAAGCCACAAGCTTGAAGCCCTATGTTCCATGGGGAACGTGAAGGAAAAAAAAATAATGTATCACCTAACACTCAGACACTAAGTTACAAACTGCTAATATTTTCATATGTTTCACACAAAGTCCATTTGGACTGATGCAACTCCACAAATATATGAAGCGGTCAATATATCCTTCAACAAGAGGGCGACGCAGACCAGTCCTGCACTGCCAACTTACATTTAATAGGGGTAAATCGCAGGCCAAACATACTCAAAATGTATGCCAGTTTACGCCGTCTCTGGCGTAGACGTGATATCCGGCTGACCATCGACCAAAGGGTGTGTTACTGCTCAACAGTCCGCTCTATCCTCCTTTATGGCTGTGAGACCTGGCCATTGAGAGTGGAAGACATGAACAGATTAGCTGTCTTTGATCATAGGTGTCTGCGTTCTATCTCCCATATGAAGTGGTATAATAAGGTGAGCAATATTGAGGTTAGGCGCCGAGTGCTAGGTAAGGAAGGGAAATCAATCGACATGGCTGTGAAGCTACATCGACTGAGATGGTTAGGACATGTGTTACGTATGCCTAGTCATCGCCTTCCTCGACGGGCAATGTTAGCTGACATAAGGTCAGGCTGGAAAAGAGCTAGCGGCGATCATACCAAAACATGGAACCAGTCAATGAAATCTACAACAGTTAGTCTAGGCCACGTAGGAAGGTGTAGACTTTCTGACTGGTTGGGGTCCTCGGGACGGTAAAAACCAATGGTTGGAAACAATTGGTGATATGGCTCAAAATCGTTCTCAATGGCTAGCTCAGATGCATCCACTCCTTGTGATTTATGATTTCCAATGAAACTTTTGTTCTTCGTTATTGCCATTCCTTTGTCTCACATCTCTTTTTACTGTCTCTAATATGCATTCCTCCTACTTTCTTTTGTTGCTTTGTGTGCTACATGGAGTGTGGCGACTTGAACTGCCGCACATATGTGCAAAGTTCTATGTCGAAAACAGACAGGCAGACAGACTCAAAATGTCACTCAGGTTGTTTAGGAAAGCTTCATTTTGTCGGTGTTTCACCTAAATGCACATCATCATCTTCATACTCTATATCAACAAGATTCTCCACTGGTAACAGATCAATCTCTGAAACATCGAATTCGACTAGGATCACATCTGTCAGCACAGCTGCAATAAAATTCAATAAAAATGGTGACACTGATACTTCTGACTGACGCCACTGGTTCTAATTATTTCAGGAAACAACTCTGTGTATGAATTCGTGCAAAGTGCATTGAAAAATACGATATACCCTCTCAGCATTCACTTCGTAGCCAAACATAGTCAAATGCCTGCTTCACTTCATAAATATGACAAGTGCTGGATACTGTAAGTATGCATAAATTCCAAAACCTCCCGAAGTGTGCAGATATAATCGGTGCACTCTGTCCTAGAGCCGGCTTAATTTTCTTGATATCTAAAGGAATATGGAACTAATAATCTTAGATATTATGTTAGTCAAATTGAACAGGTGTGCCTTCTTATAAATTGGAATAATCAACTGGCCACAACAGTCAGTTCACACACTAACAAATACCGTAGTTAATCTAGTCAGTAGTTCACCAACACCATCCTCAGAACGTTTGTAGTCATACTATCAAGTCCTGCCGCTTTGCCCGACTTTAGATCAGAAACAGCTTTTTCAACCTCAGTTACCATTGGATACGGATATCTGGTTTCCATTCATGTAGAGGTTGTTTGGCGGGAAGCTGTAATGTAGTCTTAGAGTAGTTAGATTGCCCCTCAAAATTTTCTGCCTGGTATTCTCTTCTGAAAAGTAATAATGGTTCCATCCTTTTCAAAAATTACCTCACTTACCATTGGGTCTCTTAAAGCCCACTGTCTTAATGAGTTTAAATACTCGTCTGATATTACCATTTACTTAAATTAATCAATTGAAACTATCGAATCGAAAAGTAAGCGTAGAATTCAACATCTGTGAATGTATTTCTGCTTCTCAACTATATAAGGTAAGCATACTGATGCATTCTTAACGTTAGACTTCAATTGTGAATCTAAAAGATGCTTTATCACTTTCTCTCTTACAGTACGAAAGATGATGGCTTATTCTTAGTCATCTCTTTCGGAATGCCTTAAATGTTATATAAAAACGAAGCATCTTTTTTAAGCGTGACATTGTGAATTTTTCAACTAGGTCTTTAATTTTCATCTTTAATATCTTTTGGATGTTCTTCTTTGTATCTATGTTTGCTTATTTCAGACTTTCATGAAGCCGAATTACTGAAGTCACTTACAAAGGAAGATGTTATCAAATTTTTCAAAGTAAGTGTTGCTGATTTCCTATAAATTCTTGGTCAGTAGTATTCTGTTTGTGTTAGCCACCCTTTTAATAAATGTGTATCTAAGATATCACTATCTTCTATAGATTTCATCACATTTATTTCTGATGAAGCCAGGGAAATGAATTATCTCAAGGATCGTTTACCATTCGTATGGAAAAAATCCCGTGTATACAATATATATGTTGCTTTATAATATATGTAACTGAAGTCACATACAGGTTCTCGTACACTAAACAGCCTGGCAGCACCTGTATCGTAAAGGTCACATATAACGTAAACAAGATATCGTAGTTTTTTTCTTTTCAGCGTCGTATTCCTGGATAAATTATATCCAGCTAAGAGGCTATCGAGCAAAAATGTTGAGGGGGAGATTACTTGGGAATACAGATATTTCAACATATTAGCCTTGGCCATGTAAAATATGAAGAATTGAACAAAGAAAGCAAACCAGTCGTTACTTTTGTAAACTTCAACCAAATAAGATATTTAAGGAATGTGGTACACATGTTTATTTTTTTTATTCCTTCACGTTCCCAGTGGAACACAGGGCTTCAAGCTAGAGGCTTGAAGTTTCAGTAGCAGTTTTCATTTTTACAGGATGAGGTTGCTAGCCTCATGCCCAACCTTTCCCCTTTACCAGCATTATTTCTGGCTTAGCAATGTAAAGGAGTGCGTCGGCCGGGGATCGAACCCCGAACCATGTGCATGGTTGGCGAGCATCCTAACCACTGTGCCACCGACGCACACACATGGTTATCTGGTTGATAAATACAACATCCTACTCGATGTTCACAAGTGGGTAATTAGCTGTAACACTTGATATATAAATAGTGGTTCCAGGGTTCTAATCTCCCTCCATCTAATTCAGCCAGGGGGTGGGTGGGTATTGGAATAAGAGTATGGCTCATAGAGTATAGTACATGGAAGTATTTACTCTAGGTTATTGAGTGCATCTGCTCCTATTATAATGTGATTCGTCAGTGTTGTCTTTTTAAATAGTATCAGTGATATGTGCATACAGAAACATGTGTAAGAGACTTTTACCAACGAAAAGAAATGATGAAGTGAAAGCCATATATATATATATATATATATATATATATATATATATAATTTTCAATCTTTTAATTTTATAACAACACATTTAAGCGAACAATATTGTTTTCAATTAGATCTCATCAGGCTTAACTCTAATATGCCTACATAACTTAACAAATAAAAATTCAAATATAAACCAGTCATGGTGTTTTGTCTATAGGATAATAAGTTGGTGAATATAAATTGTGCAAATAGTCATAATAGTAGTAGTGATAATAATAATAATAGTAATAATAATGTTTTTATCCATAATAAGGATGAAAAAGTGAGGCAATCTGTGATAACACGAATAATGAAAAACAGCATGATTAAACAAACAACTGTTCAGGTGGAAGTAATCGATAAAGGCTAGTAAAAACAAATGAACCGATGAAGTAATGTTAGATTGTAAGGGATTAAGGGATGATAAGAAAGCGGTTGAAAATATAAACAAAGGATGGTGTAGAAGTCATTAGTTGGTTAGTTATGTCTTAATAGGCCAAGGGAGGGATAATGGCTGTAAGAACTTTTTTTGAATACATAGTTTAGGTTTAATAGTTCGAATGCCTATCTCCTCAGCTGTGTGCAGTAAACGAATACGAAGTCTATTGGAAAGATTCGGTGGGATACGATGAATTACTTTGAAGGCTCTCGATTACATAACCACTATCAATTAAGTGTGACAAAATTGAGCTACAAATTGTTTTTGTCTGTCCTTTGCCAAACCACGATGGGAGATGTTGACTAACACGTTGGCTAAGCTGTCTAGTAGTACGCCCAATATAACCGTCACCGCAGGTGCAGTTGAATTGATAAATGCACATAGATGTGGCAAAACTATCAAGCTTATCCTTCGTTTGCGTCCCAATCATTCGTCGGCTAGAGAATGACAAACAAAGGTGTGCTGCATAAAATGTTCTTCGTATACTCCTTGAAAGTCTTTGGAAGAGAATCTCACTTGATAAGTCACCATTAAATTGTAACTTAATAACTGCCTTTATCGACTACTTCCACCTGAACAGTTGTTTGTTTAATCATGCTGTTTTTCATTATTCGTGTTATCACAGATTACCTCACTTTTTCATCCTTATTATTGATAAGACCGTTTTTATTATTATTATTACTATTATTGTTATTATTCTTATCATTACTACTATTATGACTAATTGCCCAATTTATATTCACCATCGTATTATCCTATAGACAAAACACCATGATTGGTTTATATTTGAATTTTTATTTGTAAACTTATATATTATCAGAGTTAAGCCTGATGAGATCTAATTGAAAACAATATTGTTCGCTTAAATGTGTTGTTCTAAATTTAACTATGGGAATATTTAATATATTTTAATTTTATTTATAGAGTTATATTGATCCAACATCAGTTACACGGAGAAAATTGACCGTTCAAGTGGTTTCATGTGATAAGTTCGATGTGGAGACGGAATCTTATAGTCATGATCCAAAGGTTAGTAATAATATTAGTAAGGTATTTAGCATGAAATGTTGCCTACTATGTTACAGTTTTCTGTGACTTCTTTATCTCTGATATCAGTTTGTGTTACTCATGATATCAGTTATTTACTCTGTAGCAACTCAAATAGGTGGATTTTTAAGTCCAAATGCAATAGACTAACTTTCATTCAGTTCAGTTTGCCAATGCATTCATATTTTACTGTTATACTCAACTACAATTAAAGTTAAAGGTATCCACAGCTGCTCATTATGATTCTTACTGGAAATTTTTATTTTCCAATGAACGAAAATGCAAAACAGAATTGTTTCCAGTGTCATTTCGCTATTGAATGATGATAGCTTTATAAAAGTGATAGTTAGTCAGAATTTACAAAATAACAGGTTTATATGGGATCAAGATTCTCCTCCAGAGACTGCAGCAGATGTGCTCACGACATTATTGCAAAAGGTTTTGAAGTGAGGAAGAAAGTGCCCGCAGATTGGAAGAAAGGCTACCTTGTCAAACTAACAAAGAAGGGAGACTTAGGCCTCACTCTGCAGGAACTGGGCGGGTGGGATACTGCTCTTTTCAACGCCAAGTAAAATACTGAGTCGCATCATCCTGGAGAGAAAAAAAGATGCACTGGATGCAGAACTCCATCCCACCTCCCAGGACAAGCCAGATTCAGGGGAGTTAAATCATGTGCTAATCAAATCGCAACTCTACGCATCATCATCGAACAAAGTATAGAGTGGCAGTCAAACCTCTACCTCAACTTCATCGACTTCAAAAAGGCCTTCGACAGACAGTGTTTACCAAGAGGTAATTTGGAAACTACCTTAACACTACGGTGTGCAGTGCATAAGTCTTTATTATGACTGTCGCTTGACTATGCCAACAATATAATACGATAGCTATCTGTTTCGCCAGCCTGCACTACTTAAACGAGAACACAATGACATGAGCTGCAAAGTATATTTCACACAATAACGCATGATTCAAAATATCACCAGGGATATGTCAGTTAATCTGTAATCATGATCAATGAAATATTGGCGTTACTTTATTTGGGCCAAATTCTGATAGGTTTACTTCCAGATTAGACATCAACCAGCATATCACCCCTGTTAATCGCGATAGATAGATAGACTGTATGATAAGCAGCCAATCAATATTATGTGACCTTTATGTCGCGATTATTGGCCAATTAATGTAACTCACACCACGTGATGGTGACCTTGAATGTTCTTTTTTTTGTCTGTCACTCTACTTGTATATACATGTAATTAATTGACTGTTCATTTTTGTCCGTACCTTCAATACTGTTCGAAACTTTGTAGGATTATTTATGTCCTACAGATTTAGTCCTTCCTCAATACTGACGATACAGAGTCTCGGCTTAGATAAAGTTAAAGTCAAGTTATTCTGTTTTAACTATAGCTAAGCTAGGACAAAAATAATCCTACAACCCCCCCCCTTTAGAAAAGACGTGTTACTTGGGGTCAACCTCATCGTCCATCTTCTGCACCTGGCTGACCGACGCCGAGGGAGTGGTCTGGTGTTCACTGGAATGTTTGTAGCGTTTGTAACTCCCCCCATAAGAGCGTGAGCTGTGGCGTGCTTGCGGATGGCTTGCTGTTCGAAATGGGAGAGTTTGGCGTCAACTTGTGGTAGTAAAACTCTTGACTCAGGTTTCTTTGGTTGGGAAACAGGCTTAGTTTCATCTGGGGGACATGAAGTCCGAAAACTGATCAATCTTTGGATGGGAAATGCTGATCGGTAACGGCAACTTGTCGTGAACGGCCGTTGTGTGTGTTCCTGGCCAAAACTATCTTTGTGTCCAACATTATTGGATTCTTCGCATCGGTGTTGCTTATACGAACAAGACTTGACGAAGTGCTAAGCGCTACAATGCTAGCAGCATGATGGAGGTCTCGTCTTTGGACGTCCATTGTTATCACTTGAGTAACTGTGATGATGGACGTTTGAGGTAGGACCAGGGGGTATGGGATCAGAGACTGATGCAAAGGTTTCGAGAGGTCTGGCGAAACGTATTGATTTCAAGCCCACCCTGGGGTCCAGATTGGACAAAGTTCGTTCGACAATTTTGTCCAACGTTGAGAGATCCAACCACCCCTATCCCAAAATATATACATAATGCCATTTTTTCACAGCTAATCGACTTACTAGTCACTGTTCATATAATGTTAGAAATGACTGTACCTGATCATTTTAAAAGTTATCTTAAGATATATCAGTGGCAAGGTATCTGATTAGTTCAAATCTCAGCACAGACATCATTTTCTTCGAGGATGCAGATACGATTTGCTGACAATTGCCGATAAGCATAACACCCAGGTCCAAGAATTCCTGCTGATCGCACCCAACCATTTAATATTAATACCAAGCTTTCGTCCCACAACTAAGAACATCCTTTCAGACAGATAAATACTAACTTTTCCTCCAGCTACTTAAGTATTCACTCTGACTACCTATTTGTTTGTTCATCGTCAAGAGTAGATTTAGTTTAATACCATAGCGTTATCTGTCTTAACATCTTTAAGCATGAAAACACCAATGAATAGCAAAATCATATATGCCAGTATTGAAAGAGCTGTATCGTTTTTTAAAAATGTTAAAAAAAACTCAGATGGTTGCCTTCATGCTCAAAAATTTAACGGCAATGTATATTCTTTCTAATCGAAAATGTTGAGTAGTTGCTACTGTACATTACTAAAAGAAGATGTACTAACTGCTGAGTAGATTTTGACGTTACTTTAAGGTAATGATTACTTCTAATTATTCTTCTACTAAACTGTATGATTGAATATATTTCAATCTATTAATTTGCTTACGTTTTTTTCCATTTTCTTTTCACAATGACTGGTTTTAATGTGATTAAGTTGATTTTCTTTGTTATTTTTGCCTTTCTTTAGGTAATAGATTTAAAAAATCATTCTGAACTGAAACGTTCTTGTCCTTTAAGTGGCGTGTCACCGCCATTCATGACGTTGAAGCCTAAAATTTCAGGGAATGTATCTGAGTCTTATTGAATTTGTATTCGCTGCACTTCTGAACAAAAGAGACGGATTGTATTCTGGCTACCGAAATTTTGAAATAATACACTTTATTTTTATTTCTTATAATTTGTACACATATACATCCTAGGTGAATTTTAATTCCAGCTTATTGTTCTACAATTTCAAATTTGATGAAGAAAAGAATTAAAGGATAAACTCTTGTCCTAATCTCAATAAATATAAATAAATTGTTTTGTGTTGAACTATAACCGCTTCGTCTTGCTTCACTTCCTCTTCGTGAACATTTCAGCATACCTTCATTCATATTCGATATCACGGTGATGAGACTGATATTGTTAATCATGCATCTAATGATTCTGTATTTTGGTTACAGGATTTCATCGTGAGCTGACATCGGTTAGAGAACTATTGGAAAACCTGGGAGTAGTGGATAGTTGTTTCGTCCTAGTTTGTATATCTTTGTATGTAGTACATTGGCGACTATAGTCGACTTTCTAAAGGTGCATACTATGGTCTCTCAAATGCATTTCTTACTGTAGTGTCACTAGTCCTCACACACTGAATGCGAGTTGCTGCCTATTTCAATTGTTAAATAGCATTATCAAGTGTTAGCTTGCAGGAATTTGATTGGTTACAAGTTTGATCAGAAGCTGACATCAGTTAGAGAACTATTGGAAAGCCATGAAGTATTGGACAGCCGTTTCGTCTATGTTCATGACCCTCAATCAGTATGCACCCACTGGGGTTCGAACCCAGGACCTTCCGGTTACGAAGTGAGCTCGCAGACCATTCAGCCACTGGGACGCGAGACCTATTCGCCATATATAGCGCAACAACCAGCCAGTGTCCTAGACGACTAACTGTTCTCTTACCTGATTTGGTTGACCCCGCTGATTACAACTTCTCACTAGATCTCTAGGTAACTTCTTTCATAGAGCCAATCGCTAGTGGTTCTCTAACTGATGTTAGCTCATGGTCAAACCTGTAAATGAACAAATCCCTGCAAACTAATATTTGATGAATAGCACTCTATTCTTTTTTCGATATTAAGTATTTTTGATGTGTTTACATTATTTTCTACCGTACAAGGTGCATTGATATTAAAGAAATTTGTAACTGACACGTTCGCTGTAATAGTTACAAAGTAGGAAACTTGTTTATTGAGACAGAAACGTTTTAATAAATCACTCTTACAGAGTTACACTGTAGATATTTTCGTTCCAATAGATTAGAATATAGAAGTAATCTTATTTCCTTTAAGTATTATCAATAGTCTTTCGTATCCTGGCAGGTCATTATCAGTTATGGAAATCTGTTTAAGAATGGCTAGAAACCTTCTAAAGCTGTAAGAATACATATTAACGGGTGGTGTATGGTTATTTCGTTAGTACAGACACACTAATCTTTCTGTGGTTAATGTTTCAAAAGAATGAAAGTGTAAATGGAGTACGGATGAGATGCTAGTATACATTATCTATCCTCCAGCCCCCAACTTACTTATTCTATGTGGATGAGAGAACAATTTCTAGATTAAAACAGAACAAGAATTACATCGTTCAAAATACTAAGTATATTTCAGGATCAGTACTGTGGTTAAGTTGATCCACACTCGACTAACTAGAGATTGTGCACGAACAGCTTGCCAAATGATGTGGTTACTTTATGACTTCAACACTGTAAGTCAGTGACCGATATTAAGTGATGATGCAAGCTGTAGGCTAATAATTGTACGGAATTAGCTATCACTACAATCCTATTAGTTATTGGTACTTTATACAAATGGTAGAATCGTTCGCACTCAAAATCATCATATTTCTTCCTGGTGAATCTCAATTATGTAAAGAGGTTTGCTGTATCCGCTAAACTAAAGATACCTTGCAATATTTTGCAACCCCATCCTGTAAAATAAACACTGCTATAGAAACTTCAAGCCACTAGCTTGAAGCCCTATGTTCCACTGGGGAACGTGAAGGGAACAAAAACTGCCGTTTTCAGTATCTGTGAATGTTTAAAACTCTCAACCCGACTAATATGCTATCCGCCCATTTAGTTTTTCTCTTGTATCTGTTTTATGAAGTCAAAAACTCTGAACAGTTATTTATAGTCTCTTAATATATATGACACAAGAATAAAATCTCTTGTGTCTGTTCGCGACCAGGAGTTCAAGCATGATTCATAATAGCGTCTGTAAGTCACTTGAAGAGAAGTTAAGGAGTAGAACTTCTTAACATGAACTTTTGCTTGTTTTGAAAGTGGGCTGGTAATCTCTCAGGACAGAAAATACACTTCAGATCAATGATGTGAAGAAATTCATGGAAACATGGGGCAGTTATTGGTAATGCGTTATCATATTTTGCTACAGTAGTAGCTGTTGTAACTGGCGTATATGTTTTCTTAATTTACTTAAAGTATTATTTTATTCAGTAGTATATTTGTTACAGAAAATGGTGCATATCAAGTATCTAGGTATCCAGCTAAGACCGTAGTATGCTTCCTACTTGCACTTGAATTATGTAACTTTTACTTTTCAGTAATTTGAAACGGTATAAGACGAAAGACTTGATAAAGGAATGTTTATTTGGAAATTGGTATCTCTATATAGCCAAATTATGTATACCTTATCTTCAACGCACCATTTGCACAGATCTTCGTGTCTAAGCGGAACTAATGCTACAGGAGTTGGGGGACAAGAACTTGCCTTTGTATACATCGTACTCTGTGTCAACGTTAAAATCTCTTCATCTCCTAAAATACTGTTAGCGTGATTGCGAAGTTGAATGCTAATTGTGACTAGAATTTTGTTGAAAATCGGATTTGTAATCGCAGAAGGATGAGGCACAGTAGGTGTTACCGAAAACTTAACAAATTTCCTGCATAAGCTAACGCCAATTTCGATATAGTCATTTCAAGAGGACGACAAACCGTCACTGTAAAATTCATGTGGCCGAGATAAGAACAGTGAATAGCGAGGTGTTTCTACTGACTAATTTAGAAAAGAAAACAGCAGCGCTCACAGTGTGTCACATTTGGCAGGAGACATAACATCAACACCCAAATGCAATTATACGAACCCCAGTATAACCTATGCGATAGTGACATCAAATCCGGTTCAACTTCAGTCAAACTATAAGTCCGTGGGCCTTCCACTGCAAGGCTAATACATGAAATTACTTAAGCAGAAATGTGCTATATATATATATATATATATATATATATGCTATTATTTATTGTCCCTTTTCGTCAATTGAATGAGCATCTGTCAATGTTAGTGAGCATTTCCCTTGCTAACTGGAACTAGTTTCATTTTCATTGGGTGTAACAATCCCCACTGTAGCTTTAATTTTTACTGGTTGGCAGAAGACCAGAGCAACACAATCAGAAGCATTAATGTATATTGTATTCACGTATTTTGTAGACTTTTTTCAATAAATTTATATTAACCAACTGTGAACTTGATGATTGAGCTGCTGTATAATTAAATTTGCTACACTGCTTTGTTGTTAATTGAGCAATAAGTCTTCTACTTTCTGGTTTGCCTTTTATTACCAGTTGCACTGAAGTTCAGTTGGTTATAAAGTACCTAACTAGTGTTTTGAGTTCTTGATAATTTTCTGACAACAGTAGTAATTGTCGATAGCGTTACTGATGGTTTCTGATCTGCTCATCTGAAGGTCAGCCATGACAGCTTCCCTGTTTCAGTGGAGCTGTTAGTATTTCCTGGTCTACGTTTTCCGGACTTGTTAAACGTTCTTGGTGTTTCCTAAAAAAGTATTTGTAGTTTCTTCCCTTCAGGGAGGTTTGGAAAAAATCAGCAGGGTAAGCGCTGATAATGATGTTATGCCTGAAGTGTAAACAGAATTGTTTAGTGAGGAACGAGTCATTCCAGGAAGGGATAATCTTTAAGTTAACTAAATTTGAGTCACAGTGTTCCAATGGAAATCCAGCAGACTACCCATACTTTGTGGAGGAGATTGGAGTTATGCTGAGTGATGTCAGACTAAGTGATAGTGATGTATTCATTGAGGTAATGTACTGGTGCTGTTTCTAGTGCGGCACACTGTTGCAATTCCCTACCCCCGGAAGGAGTCTCACGTTGACGCAATGGGCATTTTACGTCAAAGATTTAAGAGCTCTTTGTTAAGATTGGCGGTAGGCAAATGAGAGATGATCCCAAAGAACTCATTCTGCTTCTGGATAACTTGACGACCCACAAGAATACTTTAGTTTCCGTACCTTGAATATTCCCATAATCTATTCACAAAATAGTTAAAGCGAACACTTATTTTCAATAAACTCTTCATTAGGCTCTATAATAATAAATCCACTAATTTAAGCGTACAATAACCAGTAAAGATAAATCAGAATAACGTCAGAAATGTATTTCGGAACAAGTATAAGATGTAGTGGCAGCTTTATTTTTACTATCGTTTAGAATGTGCATGGTCAATGGGAAAAGGAAATGAAATGATTTTAGTGATGTGTGTGTATATATAGAAAACAAAAGAGCAGTTTTAGAGGGTGAATGTAATCAGTGGTATGTAAGACGGTATGAATACTACAGAAAAATAAACCAACAAATGCGGTTAATCAGACGCAAGTACAAGGGTGACTAATCACAATGACAATGATGGTGAAATAATAACAATGATGTGGTGTAAAATTAAAAGTACAATTATGGTGGTGTAATACAGATAATGTGTTCCAACGGAATATTATTTGTGGTAAAGTCTGAATACCATTCCCACAGTTCAATACTGCATTGCCAGCAGAATACTACGTATATATTTGAACATTCTATTTCCTATAGTTTAATGTAAACCAAAATAACACGCCCAGTGATTGGTTGCATAGTATAAATAATATATATAAAGCGGTTTCATAAATTGAAAATATACCTTTACCTCCATGTCTTGCCTTCTGCTGTTACACTTGGTATCGCTGCCTCTAGAGAAATGAGAATCCCATGGCCTGCAGTTTTTGAAGAAGGAGAAGTATGGATCTTCTTGAAGGAC